GTCTTTTGTTCATTTCCATTAAAATATTTTAGTTTAATAGGTGTGCGCATTGTTTACAATGCAATATTTCACTCACAGCTCTACCATAAAAAGGGTTAAAGCTAGCATAACATGTCTATCTGTCAATTTGTTGGATTTTAATATTGTGTTCAGGGAAACTCCATATTCACTCAGATCTGTTATGCTGCAGACAAACCTATATAACAATGGGAGTCTGCAAAATTACTTGCTGCAGTAAAACTACCCATAGCAACATGTATTTTGGGTTGTTTTTAAAAATACATTTTTTTTATTGCTGAACACAAGCATTTAGAGTATATGACTTGCATAGTTAACTGACATGGTCAGGATGCATTGAACCTTGTTTGCACTGACTGTGCATTTTGCAAATGTTTCAGCGCACACCAGTGTCGACCCTAACCTATATTTATGTTTCTTTAAAAGAGGCTTATAAAGGAAAATCCTCTACTTTTAGAGACACTTGAAAACAATCTTAATACCTACATGGCAAAGCACGATCTTCATAGTGACATTTTACCTTTGAATACATCGACAGTCATCAATAAATAATTGACTATTATTTGTTTTCTTTATTCCTATAAAATCCAAATGATTTCATTGAAAAATTCCAACATATTCTTATGGCCGTGTGCGTTTCCATGGTTACCCTTGTTGCTAAGGGAGGATTCTCACACCATATCGCACTGTTTGCAGCTGGATGAATTGTTCTCTTGGAATGTCAGGTAGTCTGAAATGTTGCCATTTGTACTAATGCATTTGCATTATACACCATTTCACTGCTGAAACAGCTAACAATATGTTGTCTTAAAATGGTTTATGGTATATATATATCAAGAAATTATTTTTCACCGATTTCCTCTCGTCATGCTACAGGTCGTAAAAAAAATTCTATCATTCAAGATTATGTTCTGAGTTAGGTGTGTGTATGTGTATGTGTGTATATGTATATATATATATATATATATATATATAAAACACAAACCCCAACTGTAGATTTTTTTTTTGTGTGTGTCTCAATACGACCCCAACCTCCCTTTGTTAGGGGGAAATTAAATGCACATACTCGCAATCATATATGCATTAATTTATTTAGACATTCACACACACACATGAACACATATATAAACACCAACTCATACACACATAGAGACTCATATACAACCATAGACTCAAATATGTATACACACACACACACAGTCATATACTCACACATACTTATTTAAATGTTGGTTCATTTTTTTTGGGGGTGATTCACAGTGAGTTACACCCATTCTCCCTTTTCTTACCCTGAAAAGGAGAGTGGGAATGGAACCCCATTCTACCTGCCCAGTGGTTTGCTGCTGGGATCATTATATGTACTGATTGCTCAACTTCCTTCTGCTCTGTACTGTTTCTGGGTCTGGGATGATATCACATCCAGCATTAGAACAGGACACGTTTTGGAAATGAGTTCAAACATATCCCAGCAACCTCCTTATTGCCTTCTCTGCATGCAGATCCATGACAGTGGCAGAACAGGCATCTGCTGTATGGCACCCCCACCACACAGTGCTCTGGCAGGAGCTCTGTCAATCCCCCACCACCTCTTACCCAGAGAGCAATGCCCCCACTCGTGTTTCTACTATTCTTTCAATGTTTTGAATGGTGGCATGCTGTTAAAATATATAATGAATCCAAAAAATACTGGGCCTCTTTGTTCACTAGACCAAGATTTGTGAAGAAATACAGAATTTAGGGAACAGTCTCCAAATGAGAAACAAAATTCACTCCTCTATTTGTATGCATTGAATATTTTAACCTGAACATTGTAATCCAGTTCTAAACAATCCCTGGTATTGTTAATCAACTACATTGCACAACATGTTGTATGTTCAATCATCATCGTTATTAAGGTGTTTTTATTTAGCCCTTGGGTTGATAAATATGTTATTGTATATTGTGTGTGCCTCTTATGATATTCAATAGAAACACCTTTGATTTCACAAAGCCATTGCCAATGTTGAAAACTGGGGGTGAGAGTTTGGGATTTTTTATTTAAATAAAAAGGAAAAACTGAAGGGTGAGAGCCAAAGACTTATTGCCCCAAAACAATAATTTATTGGGACTCCATCTTTACATTAGCATGCCCTTCCCTACACGTATGATACAATCCCAATTAGCCGCATGTGATGCAGCTGTACATAACTGAGCCTGGTACTTGCATATGTTGAAGAAGCAGCAGCGGTTAAACTATCCCAGCTACACTCAACTATGAATCCTTTTCTGCATCACCAGATATGTCCCAGCTTTGAATTCCTCTTCATATCACACATTATTGTTATATAACCCTTAGAAATGTGTTCTCTTATTAGGCTCACTGCCTAAGTTTTTCAACACCCAGAATTATATCTCCTTGCATCACACCAACAAAATTCTAATCCTACCTATTACTATTACAAATAATTTCCCCCAAAAAAGATAATATAAACCAAACTCCAAAAATAAGTATGCCCCGTTAAAAAAAAAAAAAAAATGTATATAATTATTATCACTGGCATTTATAAAGCTCCAATATATTCCAAAGCACTGTACAATCGTATAATATATTTCTTGGGGTATACATTAATTTAAGAGAAATACCATGCATCTTTTCTCCACTTCTTTCTACAATCATATCCTTAGTAATTATACAGCTATGAGTGGGATAAACCATCTATTTGGTAATATATTGGTTCTTGGAGAACAGTACCCCATATGCACAAATTTAGATTTACAGTATTTTAGATTTGCCTTCTTCCAGTAGAAATTAACTATCGAAAATATATGTGTGTTTGTGTGTGTGAATACATGTATACACACAGTCTGTGAATGTGAACAATCAGCAATCAAGAGAAGAGCATACAGAGTATCACTTGCTAAATTATTGTCCTGTAAAATCTATTTTAGATAGATAAACACATTCATGAATGAAGCAGAAATATTTAAATCTATGTTTCAGTAAAATAATATTTCCTGCGCATCTCCAGCTGTCTGCTTTTTCCTTTATTTTTTTTCCTTCTCTTTTTTTAAACATCTGAATTCTTTTCATGATAAGAAGATGCATTTGTTTGTGAGCTGTTTAATTAGGTTAGGTTTTGTTGTATGAAGGATGTTGCCTGTGATCAAAATGGACTCTTCCACTATTTAGCAAGCCTTTGTTGAATGAGTCATCCAAGATGCCTCTCATTGGATGAAATGGTTAGCACCCAAGGGATTGCCAGGCAGAGGCTGCATGGCCCTGCTTCATTCACAGAATTATTGCTATGCTAGCCAGCCTTTTCATTCACATAAAAAGAGTTTCATTCACATTTTGTATTTTTTTTTTTTTTATTTGTATTTTATGAAGAGAGACAATTGGAAATAATAGGGCTTTTTCTGTTAGATAACACCCGCAACAGTCTATGATGTGAGTATTTGCTGTTGCTATGCTAGCAGACAGAAGGGGAAAAATGAATGCTGTGTTGGAAACTGCAGTAGGTTTGCTGTATGCATGTGAAAGGCTATTCAGTCCGTCACTCGAATCTCTGTCTTACATTAAATAGGGCATTTCCATTATTCACCAGTCTGGGAAGGAAACAAATGAACGTTCTGTCTGTTATCATGATTCAGAAATGTTACTAATTAAATACCATTATTTTAAAGTGTATTTAGTGTTTTTTTGTACTTTATGTACTGAAGCCGTATTGCATGACTAACATAGCATTATCTTAATGAAATGTTCTGCAGGGAGTCTGTTCTAACAGATCAACTCCTTTCATAGATACATTAGCTGTCATGTTTTGTGGTGTGTTAAAATTAGTGGAAGAGTCGATGCCAAAAACTAGTGACTGAATTCTGTGACGTGTTTTGCTTTTAATCTGCATTAAGTATGCACTAATATATTAAATGCACCGTAGGGAATAATTGTATTTGTTTCCCATAGGATGATTTCATTATTTTTCTGCAGTTTTTATATTGTGGAAGGCACAGAAAAGAATTCAGTTAGAAAGAATAAATGTTTGGGTTTTTATTTGCTCCCCAGTATTTAGTGCATGGCTTTCTTGATCAATTTGACAACATTTTGTGCAAGCATTTTGTTGTTTTTGTAATTGTTTTTAAGTTAACGTTCACACCTGAAAAAAATAATAATAGTAATTTAAAAAAAAATTATATATAGATTTTTATAGTTTAGAACCACCTGTATCTTCATAATTAAATTCAGATATTCCACTACCATTTGCCATTAGCTCTTTTAATTACTTGCAGAGGCATTTCATTTTTACAAGTAGTTTTTTGTTGTTGTTGTTGTTTGTGTTCTATTGATTCAGCAGAATCAGGATTGTATGTCTTCCATACGAATAAATATAATTTGTTAGATCACTGGGTGATCACATTGTCATGTCTTTGTAAAAAGTCTTTAGATGAGGAAAAATTACAGATTTATATTACAAGTCAACTAATTTGGATCTTAGAGGTGTGCAATATATTTGAAAATAGGGTACAAATGTAAATGAGTGGAGAAAATGATCCATTTGTAAAGTTGGGGAAAAGAAATTTGAGAATTGATTGGTTCTAGTGTGCTGTAAGGGGGTGGATGTTTTTTTGTGCTACAGGAAGTGATTTGCAGTGTTCACTGAGCCTTTTGTTGAAAAGGGTCTCCTCATTTGTGTGAGTCATGCTTTTGCTGTGAGCGAGTTGGCAGCTGTGACCAGAAGTGGAATGCCATAGTTAAGT